ACGATTATCAATGACCATAACCTTCGCAGAGGTTTTCATTACCAAATATTCTATTCCCGACTATGTCTGTTGAGTGAGATTCTGCATCATTTGCTGGAGAAGCTGCCGTAGGCTGATAAACGAAAGGAATATTCGTACCTGGACGGCCTGACAACGATCGAAGGATGAATAAGATCTCGGTGTCGCGTAGAATTCGATTTAATGATAGCGGATATGTTGGACCGAATTCAGGATTGTTATACTCGGACTGTTATTCTTTTTCAATCCCTGAAAGCCACTACACTCATGGGTACTCAAACGTTCAAAGCATGGAGCGCTTGACGCTGGTCAATCTCCTTTGAGGATCCACACCATGTATTCGACTTCAGACACGCATTGCATTTCCGTCTGCTGAGTACCATACTTCTTGCTTCGGTTCCTCCCACGAATAAAAAAGTTTATCTGTCTGCTAGCTGGGTTTTGTAACGAGTAGACGCAATGTCGCTCGGAGATTCAGAAATTAGAATGAGGTCGAAAAAAAGTCAAGAGGAAGCCTAACCGAACCAGAGTCAAGGGGCCGGAGCGCAAGAATAATAATAAAATCGTCCCAGTAGGATTATTTATTTCGAATCAGGGTCAACCGTCACGTTGGACCGATTTCGAAAATTTTACGACCCCTCTCCCCTTTCTAGAAGGGCCTCGATACCGACCCCCTTCAAGGGTCAACATTCACCACCCTCGCCTCCTCATCATCGCCATGGGAGGGGGCTCATTCTAGGCCCTGGACATCTAGCCCAACAGGCCGGCAACCCTATGGTCGTATTCTGACTCAGTTTGTATGAGGGGGTCGTACTTGCTTAGGTCGTAAGAACCCATGTGATAGCTGGAGGAGCAGCGGTTGGTGTTAGCGTACAGCGCGCGCGTGTATTTACCCCCGCTGGCGTAATTGTTTCTGAAGTAAGAATTGTTTCCGAAAGGTGGGGGGGGGAAATCTACATGAACATTTTATGAGGGAGTGGGGTCGTAAGAACTTTTTGAAAAGTAGCAACGATAGGAGCGACCCTAAGCCCAACTCCGCCCAGTTTTTTCTTCAAGATTGTCGTCGAGCGGGGGGGGGGCATTCCATTCCACTCTTTTTCCCCTGTATTTCCACTACTTCCACTAATCCCTTTTCTAGGGGAGATATATACGCACGCTGAAACGGCGAAATTTTAACGCGCCAATCAAACTGGCATCACCACTTTCCCGTTAACGAGTAACAAATGAACCTAGCTCTGCGAAGTTACGACCCCCTATTTTTTTTCACCCCAAATAAGACCCCCCTATTTTTTTTCACCCAAACACGAGCCGCCCCCACCTATCATTGCTGACTTGTTACAACGAACACTAACGAAACGGATGACCTGTTCGAATTCAGGATGGTGTGACCAAATGCCAAACCCTTCAATCAGACGCTTCTGAAATTTTAGGGTGAAGTCGACCATGTGGCTTATGCCGGAGGAGATTGACCAGTGTTCGACCTACACATTGAGGACAGTGTATTTTTGATATATTTGTGCCAAATAATTAAGTTGAGGTTTCAAGGTTGGGCCCTTTAATGACGATTTAGGACTGTAATAGAGGGCTAACTTTATGTACTATAAGTATGAGTGATTTTAGAGAACACAATAATACACCCACACAGACCTTAATATCACCACCCAAACAAAATTATCAACCCGTTTGTCTAACACCATCATAACGTAGCGGTCAGTAAGTTGTGAACTCTTTTTTATTTTTATATCTAGGCGGCAACACAGGAGAGGAAATTTGTCCTCAAATTTAGATATTACATACAAAATCAAGTCCAGAATACGACGGGGGAATAATTTCCAAAAATCTATAATCATATTTGAGAAATAAGATTTTTTTCAAGTAATGGCGCGTCAAAAGTTTGGAAACTTTTTGTTTCCCTCATCATTATGACTCCCTGTTTACTTGTTTCTGTTAATTTTAGTTCAACCATTGAGCAATGTGTAATTTCAAAATGAATTCATATGCAAAGGAAGCAGTTTTTCATGGGAGGTCCTTTTTTAAACCCTACAATCCGGAATACGAAATTGAAACTGTTTCTTAGTAGTTCAGTCTCTACGGAAGCAATATTATCGATGTTTCTAGCGTTATTGGAGTCGAGCAAGCATAAGAAGTATGATCATTGACAACAAAGTATCTTCACATGGATATCCGCGTACCTCAAAACTGTCAAAGATGGTTGGCACGACATCCCCAACTAGAAACGACTTTGTGATTTTTTCCTAATCATATGAAAGTCCGAGTGCTGCCCAACATTGGCCGCGACCTGGTGAATATTACGGATGATATCCCAAAAGAAGCCATTGTTGGGCTTCAAGAGCAGGATGGCCCAACTGGCTTCCGCACATTAACGGCTAACCTGGACCGAAGACGAGAGGTAAAAAATTGTGCTCAGCGACGAATGGAATTTCTGCCTTTCCGAGGATGATGTAGTGACCCTGTGAAGTGTTTTGTCAAAAGGGAACCTCATTTTTAGTATGAGATTCCAACAGTCAGAAATAGTGGAAGTATTGTCATGGATGAAGATGTGTCCGACCATTCGGCGATTCCCCAGTTCTAGGTATCCAGCGAAATGTGGGTTGGGCTAAGTACAAGGATAGTCTGTAGAATACAATGCTTACCTTCGATAGTCAGAACTAGCCGGAAAAGATGGGTTTTCTATCACGGAAATGACCCGATGCAGGCCTACCTCCTCACTGCCGCCTTCCTAAACCCAGAAAAAGAAGCTGTTATGAAGCGACCAAGTCAAGATCTAAAGTCTAATTGAGTTCTACATCCCACGGAAGAGCTGGCATGTCGCTCAACCCACATTCCAGTTAAGAATCCCACCAAACAATGTGATTTAGTTCACAGTGTGTAGGTTCGACTTAAAAATCTAAAATTATTTTATAATCAATTCCATGTCAATAAAAACGATTCTAACATAGAAATTTCAGTGTTGCTCAACAAAACACTAATTTATGATGTAGATTCGAGGGCTATTTGTGCTGAATTCGCTTTGGAATTGAGAAGTTTCCAAACTTTTGACGCGCCATTTCTTATAAAAATTCGTTTTTCAATTGCGATCTTCGTTTTGGAAAAATTATGTTGCCATCGTAATCTACACTTGATTCTGTATATAATGTGAATTTGGGACAATTTCATTGTCTATTGGCTACACTAGATCAAAAATAAAAAAGTTTCCAAACTTTTGACCGCTACTGTAGTCTTCGAGCGACTCCGCTACCGCTATGGCCACGCCGTTCCGCTTGGTGTCTTCCTCCATTGTAGTAGAGTTTGACACCTTCCCCGATTTCCCTGGCCTTAGCACCTTTCCATCGCGTCTCCTGAAGGCATAGGACTTGGATATTCCTGCGCGTCATCAGATCAGCAACCTCTCGGGACTTCCCAGTTAGCGATCCTACGTTCAGAGTCCCAATTCGAACTAGCTTCTTTGGCCGAGGCCGTTCACTCCTCGGTAGCCCTCGCATACTGACCACAGAACTCGGGCGGGGTTCTGCGCGCCACTTCCGGGTGACGTCCTAGCTTTATCACTGATTCCTTTTTCGACTTTAGACATATTTGTTGTGACGGGGGTCTTCATCAGCCGGCCTGTCAACCTGGGCCTGACGCTGGTACTAGAACCATTTTTGCAATTTTTGCAAGGCATGGTTAACCTCGGCAGGGATCGAACTCGCGGTTTTCAGAGGTGCAGACATGAGTCTAACCTCTTAACCACTCGGCTATCCCTGCCAGGCTGAGCCCGACCTCTGTTTTCGAGTATAGGGTTCCTGACATTTAATAGTCCCTCACGGTATACTTTTCATCCCCTCAATCTCACACTGCCATTGCATGAACGGGAATCGGAGCACATGACATCGTTCGCAAGACCGCTCAGAGATCACAGTGCACATGTCCAATGAGTCAGTTCTCCTACTTGGAATAGCAAACTGCACTCTCCACAGAAAAACGTATGTCATCAGTTTTACAAACCCTATTAAAATACAATAGTCACTAACCACAAGTAGCATTGGTCAGGCCGTGATTTCTGGGCCTGCAAGCTGCTTTTTGAATTTTTATGATTATCTCTTGTGGTACAGCTGTTCAAACTGGTGTGCATCATGCTTATCTTTGACTCGCTGCTACGAGAGTAGCAACTCAACTCCCTCTCTTCGAAATACCATAGACCCTGGCCAAAGAAGGATTTTTCGTGCAACCCGACGTCCTGTTGGTTAGCGTTGGTTTTATCGACAGCACCACCTAAAAACCTCAATAGCTGTGGGCGCATGGACACTGCTGCTTGGTCTTCGGTTCTTTGTGATAAAGCGCACGGCTGAATTTCGGGACAGCGGTGTGCAGTGGTCTCGAGATCCATGCCTTACCTATACTGTGTAGATTACTTATCATTTGAGTTCGCGGCTTTTCGGATGTCTAACATATACCATAACAAACTTAAGCCGAAGTAAAAGATTGGTGTTTGTTGCGAATCTAAAATGCACAGAGCTCAGAGACAGATTGAACGTGTCAAAGGTTCAACGTGGATCTTTTGGCATGAAGTCAACGTTTTAGGCTCCCGAGATTTCTTCGTTGAAGTTAACAAGAATCATAAAATAGCGAAAGAATTAATGGACTAAATAGTAATAATAGTACATAGAGATTTCTTAATAAAACTCCTGTTGCATTACCCGACGCTCTTTTTTCCCCGCAGACCTTTTATAATTGTGGGAGTTTCCCGCCTCATGTGAAAGTCAAGGGTTCAGCGGCCTTCATGTGGCGGTTCCAGCTACGCCGCTGGCTCACACTCATCCACTATTAGCAATTTACTTCTTTCCTTTCGCTGGACTCAATCCTTTTTTGTGCCAGCTTTGAACTTGAAGGATTGTGGCTTTATGTGATAAGTACCGGCCAGTTGGGGGCACGCATGTCATAAAAACTTGGGATTCTTGATAAACACAGTTTATGACGTTCAGAGTTCTGCCCACAGTCGTCTTTTGCTTTCTCGGCTGGCACAACTTCGAGAGAACTCTCGCCTGTGTGACGTGACGCTGGTCGCCGAGGTAGCCTCACTTAACGCCAAGGACCGTTCAATAGACATGAAAGAGATATTTCAGGGAACACGGATAAGCGCCCATCGAGTCGTACTTGCTGCAAGCACGAGTTATTTTGAAGCCATGTTCACAAACGACATGGCTGAAAGCCGCTTGAGTATGCCTCTTCGAGTTCTAATATATTCCAATGAGTTCTCTCCCTCTGTGCGATTCTTACGAAATAATTTTGTGACCATTTTGTATCAGCTTTTTTTGCAGAAGAAATAGAGATAAAGGATGTGAAAGCCTCAGCACTTGAAGCTCTTGTAGATTTTTGCTACTCCGGTAAAATAAAGATCAACAGCACCAATGTATGGACTGTTTTGGCCACCGCCTGCTTGCTTCAGCTGAATGAAGTTCAGGTTGGGATTGCGAACGCTCGAACGTCTTTGCCGTCTTCGAATAGTCAACAATACGGAATGTTGATGACTCAGATCTTCTTGCAGGAACAGTGCGGCGAATTTCTGAAGAAAGAAATAAACAATTCGAATTGTCTAAGAATTCGAGCTTTTGCTGACGCACATGCATGTAAAGAGCTTTTATCCTTTGCCAACAAGTACATCCTGCATAACTTCAAGGTTATCCCTTTTTTTTGTCCATATTCAGACTTTGAAAAAAAAGATCATTCATCTCCTCAGGACGTTATTGGCACTGACGAGTTTTATCGGCTTCCTGGTAACCAATTAGTTGAACTGATTTCAAGTGAAGAACTTCAGGTGCCGTCAGAAGACCAGGTATGTCCTGAGTTTCGGAGGGCCATCCCGAATTTTCAGAGGCAGATTCATGCTTCCATCCTTTGCTGGGGCTCCTTTCTTTGCATTCTTTCGGTAATCTGGTTCTTTCAGGTTTTCAAAGCAGTTGTTGAGTGGGTCAGGTTCGACTTACCGGCTCGGCAACAAGTTATTCCCACAGGTGATGGCTGTATTCCTTGTCGAAGTGAGGTGTAGTGATACATTCGGGTTTTGCAGTTGTTTGAGCATGTACGGCTTCCCTTCTGTCACCCTCAGTTTCTGGTCAGTACAGTCAGTAAGGACACTTTGGTGAAGGCGGATGGTGTCTGCCGGAATCTTGTCGAAGAAGCGAAGGTTGGTATCTCATGGCACACTCCAGAAAACTACATTTTTACCCATGCTTGTGGATATTGGTTGTTTAGGACTACCAACTTCTACAGTTTTCCACAAATAACAACCAAACATGCAAGAATTACGTACTCGGCCACGGAAAGTATTCACTGGTGAAATATTGTACGTTGGTAGGTCGGAGTACTTCTGCCCTCATTTTCACTCAATTTCTTGTTCAAAACATGGCTCGCAACATACGCTGATGATTGAAAAATAGGCGTTGGAGTTCGATAAGAGCTAATAGAAGACGAACTGGGAACTACCGGGTAACAGTGAAGAGAACTGCTGGGCTTTATGTAGCACTCGTCGTGATGTAATCAGGTTGGAACTGGCACGACTGGGGTGACTATCGCTGAAAAAATGTTGCTGTTGTTGAGTGACCTTCAATAGTATCGCCCTGAGCTTTCTTACAGATTTGGGTTTGAAAAAAAAACTGTGAGATTCCAGAAATATAGGTGGCAGAAGATTTAACCTTCCGAAACCGAGATAACTAGAGGAGAGACCAAACTTAATAACCGAATAAACCGGGGTCCGTCTCAGCCCCAGGCGAAGGACTGAAAGTCGGCAAGACTAAGGACTCACTATGATTAAAAGTAAACCCATCACACGATCCGAATCGTTACGGAGACTATTCTGAGTTGTCTCCAAAAGTGACATCATTGAAAAGCCCAGCCGGCCTTGGCGCTTCCTCGTTTTTATAGCGATGTCTCGGAGCTCTCACAAGTCACCTATCACATGTCATACCCTCTTACTATCTCTTACCAAGGCTTAGTGCCTAATCCCCTACTATAATATAATTCCTAAGTCTTCCTGTGTGTGTTGTGCGTGTAGTCTGTGTGTGTAGTGGTTGTTTTGTCACCCGAAAAATTCCATCAGTCGTAGGACACCAGCCAGAATGGCGGTCCCATTTCTACATATATTATAGGGGGTGGGAAAGGGGGCTCACATTGGTACGTGATTGGATAGGAACTGATAACGACTGATAATAGCTGATAAGAGGGGCTAGAAAGCGAGCATCGCCAATTTCGTTTTGTCGTTCATATTGGTACTAGAGCGTCTATACTTACAAGTGTTATGTAGGGTGGTCCCGGGACAATGGTGGTACATGAATGGAAGCGATAGCAACTGATAAGGCTGATAAGGGGTCAAATCAAAATCGTCGATCCCTTACGATGTGCTGCATTGACACCAGAGCGTACATACTCGCCAGGTGTCATGTGGGGTAGGACGGGGGCATTGTTGGTAGGTGATGGAAAGTGGTTACAACTGATAAAGGCTGATAAGGGGCGTCAGAATGCAAAAGTCGTCGATTCCATTACGTGGCTTGCATTGACACCCCAGACGTACATACTCGCAGGTGTCATGTGGGGTGGACGGGGGCATTGTTGGTAGGTGATGGAAAGTGGTTACAACTGATAAGGGCTGATAAGGGGCGTCAGAATGCAAAGTCGTCGATTCCGTTACGCAGCTTGCGTTGACACTACAGCGTCCATACTCGCAGGTGTCATGTGGGGTGGGACGGGGACATTGTTGGTAGGGAAAGTGTGGAACAAAATGATAACAGCTGAAATTAAGACGGGCGTCGATATGGCAAAAGTCGTCGATTCCATACGTGCTAATGCCATTAGACACAAGCTCTCATACCAGCAGTGTCAATATTCGGTGGACGGAGCACTTGTTGTAGCGTGATGAAAAAGTGATTACAACTGATAAAGCTGATAAGGCGTCAGACATCAAAAACATCACAAGTCGATTCCATTACGTGGCTTGCACTGACACGAGCGTACATACTCGCAGGTGTCATGTGGGGTGGGACGGGGACATTGTTGGTAGGTGATGGAAAGTGGTTACAACTGATAAAGGCTGATAAGGGGCGTCAGAATGCAAAAGTCGTCGATTCCATTACGTGGCTTGCATTGACACCAGAGCGTACATACTCGCAGGTGTCATGTGGGGTGGGACGGGGCATTGTTTGAGGAGATGGAAAGCGGTTACAACTGATAAGGGCTGATAAGGCGCGTCAGAACGCAAAAGTCGTCGATTCCGTTACGCAGCTTGCGTTGACACTAGAGCGTCCCTACTTACAAATTCTATTTGTAGTGGTACGTGCACACTGTATCATTGTATGACCAGCCTACTTAATAGCAGTCTATTGCATGAATTCAATCAAGTCTTCAGCAAATGATAACTTTCGTTCCTATCAAGAAAGCCCAAACTCATTAAACCGCTAATCCTTTCGGGGTTCTAAATAATGGTGACTGTAAATAAATGATAAGCTTTAGCTCCTCACTTATGTAAACAGGCATTTTTTATTTTCATTCAGGGACTGACAGCAATCCTATTCACCGCTAAATTGTCCGAATTCACGAAGAATGCGATTTACAGTGCGCCGAATTAGAAGATAAATACCAGTTCATCTCCAGACGTTATCACGCGTATTCTCGATGCACTTCAGCGAAACTGGGGAAAATCTAACACATTCAATAGTGAGGTGGTTAATGGAGGGCCTCATGCTGATATCCCATGGGTCTTTCAGTTTCACTAAAGCCTGCCGTGTGATGCGCGCGATATAGCGGGAGCAAAACTGGTA